AATGGATGGGTTAGAAGATAAGTGGAGAAAAATGCAGACAGTAGGACAGACAGACAGAGGTATGAGTACAGAAAAAAAATGAGTAAAGAAGAAGGCTCTAATCACTCGTCTGACAAAATAGAGAACCAGAAAAAGAGGAAAATACAGTGGGGGAAAAATACTCCCCCCCCCCCCCCCAAAGAAGCTACTTTCCAGAACTGAAGAGACTGGCCCTTCACAGTGAACATACGTATGAGAAGCCAGGAACAATAAATAGTAAGACCCACACTGAGGCACTATTTCAAAATACAAAAGGAAGAGAAGTTCAGTATATTATTTAAAAAAAAAAATTTAAACCACATTCAAGGACCAAATGGCATCAGCAAATAGAGCTCATAGCAACAGAGCTCATGCTAGAAGACAACAAAATAATGTCTTCAAAATTCTGAAGGAAAATGTGTTTCATACATGAATACCCAGCAAACTACCAATTAAATGTGAGGCTAGAATAAACACATTTTTAAGTTGGCAAGATCTCAAAAGAGTAACCTTTCTCTGGAAGAGTCCATATTTTCTTGTTGCCAAGCATTTCCTTACATTGGTCTTTATTTATATTACTTATTAGGCTGTGGAGGCATTTTTTCTTTTCTCCATCCCTCACTTTCTACTTCATAAGCTCCTCCCCATCCACCCATCCTGCATCTCCGCCAAGAAGGATTTTCTGGTCCAGCCAGTAGGGTGCAGTCTTTTCCCCTGATGCCCACAGACCTCTCTACTCCCATAAGGCACTTCTGTTCCCTCTATTTAGCAAGATTGAACACCAAACTCTTCTCCCTAAAACAACTTGCAATTTTCTGCAGGCAAAGGTCCCCCTGTTTCTTCTTTGTGGCTTTGTCTTTCAGTCCCTTTACTCAGCAACTATGACTAACACGAGTTCTTTAATATGGCAGACATTCACTGATAAGAGAAAAATGGACTTAATATTTAATGTTAATTCCTCATTCCAAGAATATAGCCCTGAACCTATTTCTTCTCTGCACCAGTCCTTTCCACATCTAGACTTCCCATCTCAGAGTCCCTGTGTTTAGGGCAGAAAGGATCATTTTGGGGGAGGGAGAAAAGACAAAAAAAAAAAATCATTCTTTCAGTTAAGAAAAAAATGATCATATGACCTAACAACTTCACTCCTAGACACACACACAGTGGAAACCAGACAGATGTCCACCAACTGATCAATGAATAAATGAAATATGATGCATCCATACACTGGAATATTACTTGGCAATGAAAAGGAATGAAGCAGTGATACATGCTAGAGCATGGACGGAAACTGAAAACATCATGTAGGTGAAAGCAGCCAGTCACAACAGACCACCTACTGTATGATTCCACTTATTGGGAATATCTAGAATAGACAAATCTGTGGAGACAAAGTCAAACAGTGGTTGCCTAGGGCTAAGGGCATTGGGAAAAAACGAGGAGTGACTGCTAAGTTAAAATATGATATTTTATTGGGGGAGGGGCAGGTAATGAAATGTTCTAAAATTGATTGTAACAATGGTTGCACAACCCTGTGAATATACTAAAAAGACCTGAATTGTGTACGTTGAGTGAATGAATTATGCACCAAGAGGCTGCCAGATCGATTCTCAGTTAGGGCACATACCCAGCTTGTGGGCCCGATCCCCAGTGGGGGGCATGCAGGAGGCGGCCAATCGATGTTCTCTCTCATCGATGTTTCTGTCTCTCTCTCTCCCTCTCCCTTCCTCTCTCTCTAAAATCAAAAAAGAAAAAAAAAAATTTAAGAAAAGATCAATGTGGGAATAAGTTAAATATATATAATACTTGTCTTTAAGGCAGACTCAAAGAACACCAGTTAAATAAGGCAAGATATTAAAGTACGGCAAAACTGAACAGGGTCAAAATGTGCATTTGGATCAGAAAATGCCAAGTTAAAAAACAAACAAGTTCATGTTAGTTGATATTTATCTGCCTCAAAATTAATATAGAATCTATTCACTGTAAAGGTTACGAGTTGAGGAGAAGCCGTAACAAGTGCAGTGAAAAGTACCGGGTTTTACCGGAAGCACAGTGTGCCTGGTCATCTAAACTTCTGTAGGTCACTTCATTCCAAAAGGCAGTGTCTCTACGTCCACTACTTGCCAATCACCCTATTTTCTAGGCGTTTTCTGAAGGCAATTAATGGATAACACCCTTCGTATTTACAGAGGGCCAGGGTCTGTAAGCACTGCGGAGGTTTGTTCCAGCCATTTCCACAGACCTACTGCGCAGGACTGCGGGGTGAGGGGAAGCACCCACTTACAGAATCTTTCTGTTTGAGATATGCGCTGGCCCTGGCCGGTCTGGCTCAGCGGCTGGAGCGTCGGCCTGCGGACCAGAGAGTCCTGGGTTCGGTTCCCACTAGGGGCACGTACCCAAAACAAAACAAAACCAAAAACAGTTGGAGTGTCAGCCTGCCGACCAGAGAAATGCGATGATGATCACAAAAAATCTGTAAATCTTTTGATTCTTTGAAAATGGATGTACAGTATTTTAAACTATCTAAAATGAAATGACAAATTCATATAGCTTTCCATTGTAAGGCTTCCTTTTGAAACAGGTCTCAAAACAGTTATAATGATATACAGGCATGGTGGAGGAGAAGATAAAAATAATCTAATGAAGGAGCCATCTATAATCCCTATTCCTTCAAGGATTTTGACATGATTAACCAGACTTACCAAACCATGATTTTAACATAAAGTAAACTTAAATCTGAGTCCTATCTTCTTTCAGGACACATTAAAATGCACACTTACCCTAGCATAACTCATTTGAATACATCAACGTTTTAAGATACTGACCTAATTTTAAAGAGGAAAAATGGATGTAAATAATCTATGTTCACAAAACATACTAAGTAGACCTTCAATTAATTTAGCCTTTGTTTTAAATTCTTTTCATTTTCCTTCATCTTCTCCATCATTTGTAACCATAAAATTTTTTGTCTGTATAAGTAACATGAACCTGGTTTGATTCAGGATCGATATTTTGATCTATGCTGGTTTGAAAGATATTTAAAAGTTCTATAAAGCTGTGTCGCTTTCATCAGGACTTAGAGCAGTCCTGGACAAAAAATGTGCTATCGGGTAACTGCAGACTTGGAAAACCAAACCTCCAAGACCTTGGGTTTTATGATGAGGGGGAATAAACCTGACAACCTGTTTAATTTTAGTATGTATAATCACACGAATAAATTACTGCAAATAAAACACTTTTTGCTTCTAGAATACAAACTTATTTTTTTTTCTTGGCTTTTCTCCCTGCACCCTGGTATAAAACGTAGGTCGAATTCAGCTCCTAAATTGCAACGTTTACTAGCTACACTGCACACTTGTGGCAATTCGTTTCACTAGAGCGCATTCGTTATTTAATTTTCTTCACTGTTTAATTTCATCTTCATATTGTTTTATTGTAATAAGAACATTTAACAAGAGATCGACCCTCTTAACAAACGTTTAAGTGCACAATACAGTGCTGTTAACTATAGACCCAGTGCTGTACAGAAGATCTATGGCACTTATTCAACCCGCCTAACTGAAACTTTATGTCTGCTGAACAGCAACTCACCATTTCTTCCTTCCCCAGTCCCTGGCAACCATGACTCTGTGCTATGAGTCTGACTACCTTAGATACCTCACATGAGTGCATCACACAGTGTTTGTCCTTCTGTGACTGGCTTCCTTCGCTGAGCATAACGTCCTCCAGTTTCAGCCACACTGTCACATCATAACGTTTTCAATGATTAACTTTGGTAGAGCAGATGAACTGATGGCAACTAGGCCACACCTTGCTTGCTCCGCTCCCTGCTCCTACGGGTTGCCTTGCAGTCGAGCCTGTGTCACACCTGGAGAAGCCTTCCCTGCCTGCGGAGGTGACAATGAACACTATTCTGATGTATGGAAACACTGCTTCTGAAGAGTCACGGCCTTCTGGCAGTGTCTCTGCAAACTGCTATGGCAGCTGTGCTAGATGTCATGAATATTACATAAGGGCTGTCCATGCTTCCAAACCAGAATCTCCAAGCCACGATTCCCATAGCAACACACCGAGATTTTACTCATCTCGGAGACACAGCAGCCAGCAGAAGTATTCTGTGTGACCCTCAATGTTTTCAGCAAGATCAACGCAGTACTTTTTTTTTCAAAGCAGTAATTTGTTTCAGAAGAAAACCAACAACTGTGTTCACATATGTTCATTTAAAAGTCATGGAGTATCACACACCCCAAGGTACCTTAAAACTGAACAACGATCTATGCTTTACACATAGCAGCTCTTCAAATAACTACATGGGGAAAAGAATTCAAATCCTGACAATTAGAAAAATCAAATCCAGTCTCAGCTAAATTCTGTACTTATATATTGCATATCTGATTTCTAGTCGCCCTTCCACATACATATATATGCACTTTATTATTATGGGATGGAGAATAAATGCCCCAAGAAACATTTTCAATTAATAAAATCCTTTGTTGCTTTATTTTTGAAAAACACAATACAATTTAAGTTTTTAAATATAAGAAAATACTATTATAAAGCACCTATGGAGTAAAATTTGGGGAAAAGAGCATTCATATAAATACCAAAATAAACACTCGAAGAGAGTTTGTTATTCTGAAAAGAGAACTAGCTTGTTGGAAAAACAAAGTAAACTCATTTTGATATGAGATAGGTTTCTTTCTCTTTGTATAATCAGGGATCCTTTTGTGCATCTAAGTAAACCATCCACCATGGAAACATGGCGCTTGGATTATAAAACAACGTGAAAGGCAACACCCCTCATATACCACACGTCCTTTTTCTACCAAGGGAAGAAAACAAGCTCATGTCTTATACCTCCTTTAAACCAGACAATGAAATACAGTACGGACCCAAACACAGGTTTTAGGAGAAACTTCCACAGGTTTCACGGGCCCAGCAGAGCTGGCACAGAAAGCTTGGCAGGGAAAACATGACCTTACCTTTGCCTTTTCCAGCTGGGCCTGGGCCTGTCGCTCTGCCTCTCTGCGCACCGCCTCCCGGTCCTCCTCCAAAGACACATCTGAATCGGACGGACGGCTGGTGTAGGAGTCTGCCGAACCCTGGAAGGGAACATTCGCATTTTAAAACAGATGCCATCGATGACGCTTGCATTGGAAATGTTTCACTGCCACTCCACTGAGCTTCCTAGATTTTGCTACAAGTTCCTGAAAAGAGGAGAAAAGAATCCATCTCGTGGCAAACCATCTAGAAAACGCACGCTCTGGCTTGCAGACCATTCACTAGGGTAGCTGTGCCTACCGAGTGATTATTCCTCCCCAAGCTGTGCGTTCCAATGACTGTCCTTTCTGGAAGCCAGAACAAGTTCCTTTACAGTTAAAGCAGCTCTGTGGTGCAGTGCAGGGCTGAGGAGCACAGATGGGTTTCAAGGATAGCTTCAAGAACAACCGACACATTAAAGCAAGTATTTACACCTAGAAAGAAGATACTGCTCATAAAAAAACACACGAAAGTCAAACAAGTGATAAACCTGAACTCCCCAAACGTCACTACCATGAGCTGACTGCCACTTTAATCTTAAGCATCCTTCTGTACCTTTTCATTCACCCGGTACCCTCTCTGACAATACTGGAAGACAACAGCAGTCAGCTCCATGCAATCTTTAAGCAACACATTTCTTCAATATCTTTAAATAGATATTAAGAAAACCTGTCAACAGAAAACACCTGCCCGGGCTATCTCCTTTGGCAGTAAATCATGACATAGGAAAAGGAGTTCATAAAATTACAGGACTTTCCCTGGCTCCCTTTCTTGCCATCAGTATGCTATTACTAAATGAAGGAGCCCTTGCCAGCACTCACTCCAGTAACAGCAAAATCAAAGGCAAAATCACGTCTCCCCACACGAAAGCCCTGGAGCTTACACAGATATCCGAATTCTTCAGCCTTCCTCCCTTGGCTCTTTTCAGAAGCCGGATCCAGGTGGCCTTCATTAGCCAGACAGCGCCTTTCCCATCCGCAGCTGCAGCCCCGGGCACAGGTCCTCAGTGCGCGCCGAGCCCTGCAGAACCACCTCCGCTCCTTCCCCATCCATGCTCGGGGCAAGCCCCTCTTCGCCGGCCCTTCCTGCCTCCGGGGCTTCCACTCCCTACCCCGGAGGACTCCAGTCCAAGGAGATCCTTATTTTCCCATTCCAGGTGGGAAAACAAACACTCGAATGCTCTATGTTGCTTTGTAAATAAAGAACACTTCCAAGTGCGTTCAAAGACAGGCGCCAAGTCGTTCTAAACTTGATGTATCTTACTACCCTGGATATTCACTTCCCTGTTCTTAGATCCGTAAAGGAAATTAGTTGGAAGAGCACCTTAAAAAAAAGAGCCTAGTGCAAAACGTATGCAGTGACATTTGCAAGTGCAAAGTTCAAGCCTTATCTTCAGAGATCTGGAGGGGGAGGGGAGGAGCACTCCCCGCACTGGGCATGCTCCATAGGTAGCCTTTTCACGCGGATGCTCACATCACACACACTGTTAGTCTCTGTCAAATTGCCATTTGCATCCGAAATGTAAACAGCTGGAAAGGGTTTGGGTTCTATAGTAACAGGCACAAGGTCTGTTTGTCATGTTTGTTTCAGATAAAACATGCTCTCAGAAACACAGCATGTAATCTGTTCATTTAATGATCCCTTTCCGTTACCCTGCTTGCAGAGAGTCTGTCCTGTGCCATACGACAATTCACTGATAATTTTGTATACGTTATTGGACAGCAAAAGTCAAATAACGTTCAACAATCATAATAGCAGACTGCCGTCATTGCTTGTGACTCCCCAAACAAGATGCGAGAAAAATTTGCCCATTTAATTAGGACATGAAAGTAATCACAGCTCCAAGCTATGAGTTTAACGGAACTCAGAATGACTTTGAACTGCTTCTCCAACTGAGAAACTACCACTTGAAATAAAGTCACTGGAATACATAACAGTGTGAATTGTTATAACAATAATTATGAAGAAGATTCAAAGCTTTCTTGGTTCATTAGCTCGAGTTAAGATGCATGAAACAATGTAGTGCAAATTCTTCTTATAAATAAGACAACTGAGGCTTGAGAAGGAAATATACTTCAGTTATTAATATCCTGTACTAATGGAATTACATTTTTAAAGTTTACTTATGAAGAAATACACACTTTTGGGTTTCTTAAACAAAATCCTATCACTGCATTCTAAGCTACATTGTTGTTTGAGTGTGGTGGGGGAATCACTTTGCCAAGTTCTCTGTATATGAAAGAAAGTCATTCTTAGGAGTTTTTCCCTTTTCCTCCCTTCCTTTCTTCTTTCATCCTTTCAGCTGTGGGCTAAGACCAGTCTTTAGGAAATGCAGATTAGGGGTTTTAGAATAAAAGTAATGGGGGGGGCGGTGGATGAAATGAACCAATTAACTTATATGCATGTACACATAACCAATGGACACAGACAACAATGCTGAGGAAGTGGAGGGCGGAATGGGGAGGAGGGTGTTTGGGAGGAAAAGGAGAAACATCTGTAACAAAAATAAATTAATACAAATTGGAAAAAGAAAAAGAAAATAGACCAAATGTACCTTGTGGTATCATTACATAAATTAAGATTGAAAAGATTATTTATACTATTATGAAATGGATGGAGGATATTATGAAATGCATGGAGGATACAAAATGCATTCCAATTTTTGGTTCAAGTAATATTCTCAAAGGAGATATGAGTCTTTCTGCACAAACACACATACCAGGAGATTCTTCATCTTCCCAGAACATCCCCTATGGCAGGGGTAGTTCAGTAGAAAATTATCAAGAAAGACAATTATGCCCCATATAGGCCCTCGGGCCCCCCTGTAACCATGCTGGTATTTTAGACTCAACCACCCTGCCAAAAGTTCAGGTCACACCTCAGTGAGGACACAAAGTTTCTGTCATAAAGAAGCCCATAATAATGCATTTGATCTTTCCCTTTTAAACAAAGATTTTCAAAGGGCTTTTGCTAATAATCAGGTGTAGGTTTTAATTGCACCTGTTTTGCGACCTGTTTCCAGGTTTAAATAATTAAGTGGTTACAAAAAAAAAAAAAAAAAAAAGGAAAGAAAAAACCCTCTACATTGACTTTGGCAATGATCTCTTAAATATTTGCAACGCTATATCAATCTTCAACTTTTTTTTTTGTACGTGCCCCTAGCGGGATCCAAACCCGGGACTCTCTGGTCTGCAGGTCGACGCTCCAACCGCTGAGCCAAACCAGCCAGGACAATCTTTAACTATATTACAATTTGAAATACAACTATGAACTCTAGCTTATGAACTGTTTAGTGGAGCTTATAGAAGGAACTCCATTATTTTCACACCTTGTACCTGTAATCGTATATATTTTCAAATTATTTTTCATTGTAGCAGTTATATCGTAGAGAGACACAAATGAGGTCACCTAATACCCTCCCATCAAAGATAGCTGCTATTCAATAGGAGCATGTTGTAGCCTCCAGAGCTCATTCAATTTTGAAAGTCACCCTCCCAACATGTGCATTACAATTAATCTCCTTCCTTCCGGGAGTGCGGGTATGTGCCGTGAGAAGTGAGATATCTAATTAAGCTTTGCCTTGGGTACCACGTGGACTTTCTGGGTCATTCTGCCTCAAGTTGTCTTTAGTCAGGAATAGCTGGCAATCTCATTTCCATTAACTCCGGCACAGGTTCATTACAAGATGTACCCGTGATCTCTGGAGTTCCTACAATGTGATTAACTGGTCTTTGTAGTATTTGTCCTTGCAGGTACATCACATGTCCAGCTACACCCATTTCCTTTTCTACATCTTAATGTTCTCATCCCTCATTGTACAGTCCCAGAATACAACGAGCACCTAACGTCTACCAATGGCTCATCCAGAATCTTCTGCTTTTATCCTCAGAACTTTTACTCTGAATATGTGTTCTTTGCTTTTAGGAAACGTTATTTTAATGGGATTAAGTTGTGCTTTTAACTACTCTTCCATTTCTGCTGTGTTCCCCACCCCCGCCCCCAACACTCTTATGTCAAGTATTAGCACAAAGATTATCACCCTTTTTCTTTAGCACTTGTTTTGTATTTATAGTTTGCTTTTTTGATGTCATGCTCTACTGCTTAATGGTCATATATATTTTCAGCATCATTATCTTGAGTGCTCCTGTTTTCTCTTTTTAAACTTTTTTTTTTCCTTTATTGGTTTTAGGGAGAGGGAGAGAGAGATAGAAACATTGATGAGAGAGAACAACAACTGGTTGCCTCCTGCATGCCCCCCACAGGGGATCGGACCCACAACCTGAGCATGTGCCCTGACCGGGAATTGAACCGGTGACCACTCGGTGCATGGGTCGACGCTCAACCACTGAACCACACCAGCCAGACTCGTGTTTTCTCTTTTAAAGCCAAAAGGATGAGAGTCATAAACTTATTCAGTGACATTTTTGATGCCAAATTGTTCATCTATTTCCGTACAAAATTTTCATATAAAGTCTAAAGCAATGCACTTCGGCAAAACCAATTTCTCATTGTATCCCATGGTTACCTAATTCTAGACAAAGCTATGTCCCAACCAAAATCCTTCAGGCTTCAAATGACCTCCTCATATAGTGGACTCAGCTAAGCTTATGGCAAATCTGATTTCACTTGTTTCTTCCTGACCTGCCATGGGTTAGACAGACATCCACCGCCATTCTGGTCAGGCCCATATTTTTATTTATTTATTTTATTTTTTAGAAATTTTTTTCTTTATTGATTTTAGAGAGAGAGAAAGGAAGAAAGGGAGAGAGATAGAAACATCGATGAGAGAGAACATCAATTGACTGTCTCCTGCATGTCCCCCACTGGGAATCGGGCCCACAACCTGGGCATGTGTCCTGACTGGGAGTCAAACCTGCGACCTCTTGGTGCATGGGTCGACACTCAACCACTGAGCCACACTGGCCGGGCACAGGCCCACTTTTTTAAAGTAAGGCAAAATGGGAGAGACTTCTGAGAACAAGGACCCTGGGGGAAACGGTCTGTCTGTCCCTCGTCTTGTCTGCTTGTGTTGTCTGGGGGTGATAATTCCTTCATCTCTCAT